AGATTGCAAATCAAACAGGCGAATTAACAATCCCAATGAAGAACTGCATAGCCGTGAACGACTGGGTATCTGATTCTGAGATGAAATGGGGAAGCGGTTGTCTACCTAAGGTTCACAGCCGTCACGAGAGTAGGAGTCGATCTTCCCGGTCACACCGACGCCACAACTCGCCAGTAGGTTGGATCATTCATCCTCCTCCGGATCTGCTCCGTGCCTGTCTTTGACCAGTGATCTATCAGAGTCAAGGGAGAAGTAGATAATTAGACAGTGTACAATTACCAGCTGACCAGCATACTATTAATTGAATTAATGATCCAGCTGAATAAGAGCTACTATATGCAGTGTGAATCAAGCTATGGCAGTTAAATCTCAAACGCCGTGCTTTGAGAGGCAAATTGATCTACATAGGGCTTTTTGATGTGTGCAAGTAATCGAAGACTGACTATCGTTGACTCAAAGAAATTGCGTAGTCGTTGGTGCTGGTGATGGTGGTAGTTGCTCGTCATGTGGTGGTTTTGGTCGTGTGGTGACAGCAACAACACAGGTGACAGTAAGAAGGCTTAACTACGTAAGCTGTAAGCCAACGTTCTGATACACTAACCACTGCTTTCGCACCTTCTTAATATAGGTCCATTCAAAGGCTGTGTACTTTGCAACATATCAGATGAAAAACTTGTCTGTCTACTGCGACAAGTGTCAGATTCTGTAGAAAAAACAAGCAGCAAGAATCAAGCAAAGATTTCAAAAACTTGCGCGGATTATATTACAAGCATCACACACGGACATACACTACTTGCTAGTTATCAGTCACTGGCGGAACTACTGAGAACTGCACAGATGCAACTCATCAGAAGTACCACCTAACTTCTGTGTACCATTCCTCGCATGAATTGCTATGTAATAGAAATCGGCAGAAACGTGATCACACGGGGACGTGTATGGTGTCCCACTGGTACCAGTGCACCACTTACACTGCCCACCCACTACCTGGGCAACGATCTGTGACATTCCAAGCAGAAAGCTGTGATTCACAACGATTCCGGAGTGTGCCGATGTGCTTGATGATCGAACCGCGCCAGGCACACAGGACACCGGTCAACCCTCTCTCAACCACCCTGCTCGCTCTTCAGCTGCTACGCTCCGAACATCACCAGGGTTTCTTGAGCATTATGCGGGCGGTCGTGACGGTGTGCCGCTTCTCTTTTCCGAACCATTACCCGATTCTTAACCTTCATCTGAATTGAAACAAAATTAAAAAATGCCAATTATTAAAGGATGAACCACGTTCTACGCTGTTTGTAGACTTGTGATAGTGAAAGATGAAATCTATGCATTCTTTAGTTCCAGCCAATCGGCTCATTCTGAGGCACTGAAAGGCTGGTATGCGTAGAGCAAATTATGATGTATATATGCATGTTGTTGTTTTTTAATTTAATCGACAACTAATGAATGCTGGATACCTATCGTCGTCGTCCTCAATGTCATTCTTCTTCTTCGCCTTTCCACTCTCTGCTTCCTCGTCCTCAGAGTTCTCACTAGACTCTTCGCTCAAGTTTCAGGTACCTTTTCTTTGTCTTCTTGGCTCGATCACCTCCCACGTCAGGAGGTGATTCTGTTTGAACGTCCTCGTCCTGCATCCTGGCATTCATCGATCGGAGTCGCTCTCTATCACTTCGCGCATCTTTTTTGTGTGCCAAGTGGTTGTCCGAACTCATCCTTGCTCACAATATGGACTGCATCAAATTCGGCCCTCCGATTTACACTCCAATCGCAAGTAAGAAGATAGGTTCTGCGGCTTTGATACGAAGCACGCGAGACGTGGTGCACCTTTAATTAATGCCTGAAAGAAAACATCAAGTTAGCTACCGCATCTGCATGGCAAAACATAACGGTGTGCAGCACCTTTTATCTGTTTATATTTGAGGGACGATTAACTCAACTCTGCGCTCAAGCGATTCTTTATTATCGAACCCGCTCGTGAGAGATGTGATGAAACAGTCTGCTCTAACATTTGAGATGTTCATCCTTCAAACAGGTTGAATCATGAATGGAAAACCACACACTAAGGATGAAATGAAATTATTTATATACACCCGTTTCTATTATGTGGTTACCTTCTAACTTCAAGTCACAGTGTTTACAATGTTTTTGTGCGGCTAGGTGTTAAGCAATTTACGGGTTATATTTTCTCTTTCTCCCCCTCCCCTTTCTGCCGATTTATGGCTTGCTAAAAATGATTGCCTATTCAGCTATAAAACTTCTAGAAATTAGGGCCTGGTTGACAACGAAAATTCATACTGGGCCTGATGCCTGAACTCTATCAGCTGACATACTAATAGTACGGAGAGTCCAATCTAGGACTCTTCAACCATATAGCCTAAGAACAGGGCCAGCCTTCCTTAAGGAATGGATTTCTGCCATCTTTACAATTAATACTCTGATGTACAGATTAAGATCATTGTATGCCACCTATTATCAGTCAACCCAGAGCCCTAGCTCTACTCGTCAAGCCCTTTGCTTTCTGGCTACAAGGCTATACAGGGATTCCACAGACTTGCACTAAAAATAGCATCTTACTTACAATCCCGTCGCCGCGGCCATAACTGGTTCCAAGAATTGCGAACGACATTGTTAACCGATATGCGCAATGCGTACCGAGTTTTACAATCGATAGATTTGTACATTACGAATAGTTTATTAATAGTAAATCTCTATTAGCAGTAAGTGATCCGGTTTTGCAGACAGGTTTACACCAGTCGTCGTGTGGGGTGCTTTAAGTTCGCATGATTGTGCAGACCACAGTTTTACAGGTGTTGCATGCAGGTTATGCAGCGTGGGTTGGAGAGTGTCAGAAGCATTGATGAGGTTGCCGCAGAGTCGGCGATTGCTGAGTAGCAGATTGGGAGATTGCATGCAACCAATATCATGGACTTGAGTTGTTTAAATCGGCGATAGTGTTCAGAAATTCCCAACCGATTTTGTACTAGCATTTAAGCTATCAAACGGCAGCTTTTTATAAATCTGGTGTATGCACATTTGCCACAACTGTCTGAAGTGTACATAGTATGGACAGTACTTGTTTGTTCACTAGACAACGTAGCCCAAAGCACGCTAAGTCCTCGAGAAAATTGCAGTGCATTGGGAAATCAAGCACGGCCGTATGCGAGAATGGAGTGGGAACAAGAATTGTGGCCCGATCACGTACTTATTAGAATCTCGTGCAATCTGGACTACCTAACACTCAGCCGAGTCCATTTTATACTTCTCAACGGACTTTTTCCAGAACTAACAAAAAACCTGGATGCCTACGATCGGACTGATTCTGCGGTTGGGGTTAGTGGATGTATCAAGTCTCATTTATTATGTGAAGCAGCTGAGAGTTCCATCAACGTTATCCGAGCATGTGTTGATGCACCCCGTCTCTGATTATACAATGCTCTCTATCCGTGCATGGGTCACGATGAGAGAATATGGGACCAGGCATTATTGTCAGCACACTGCTAATTGTAAGCCGGGCCTTGGTGATTCTGTTCACATGTTGCCTCGGGGCCATTTATGTAGAGTATGCCTGCACGTGCCAAGAGAAATCACCACCCCCACTCAAACAGCTGCCTACTGGAGCCGGCAGATATATGTATTATAAGTGTAAATGCTGTAGCAGCGGGCCGCCGTGCGTGCGTCTTCAGGCGGTGTTACGCCGTGTACCTGTGTTGCAGAGCGGCATTTGACCGGCCATGGTTACAGGTATTATCGGCAATATAGGCAAAGAAAGTAGAGAAACATTAAGACATCTGATAGTAAATACATTTCGTGTTTATTCAGCATATGCTTTTTTATTGAAATGCCCCAAGCCGCTCTGTGGTCCGCCTTGTCTCTCTCACTTTCTTGTGTTGTGATCACAGTTAGCAGCCTACAAAAGCCTGTGTTGGTCTCTCTGATACGTAATTGCTGAAGTTGACAACAGCGCAAGGCCGAGTAGCGTCGTTAGTGATGGATTGCCTTAATAGGCGAAACTAAAAATGAGCCAGAGAACAAGTGTGTTTGCTCAAATGTACTTGTACATGCACTGAACTGGTTACTGGAACAACATGGCGGCGGCATTGCATTTGTGGATAATTTGAAAATTCGCGAACCCTCTATACTAACCTCAGCGGAAGGAATCGGCATGAATCCTCTGCCGCCATGACAAACTGACTAGACTGCTTACAGCGCTGAGAGTCTATGTCCCCCAGGTTACTATCGCGCGGATTAGCACCTGGGTACGGTTCGATATATGACGTACCCTGGTACTATCTAAGCTATGCGAGACCGTTACCTCGTCCTACTCCTAACGACGGGAGTCGCCCATGCCTACTCCCTAACCCTGACCATATCAGATAGTTACCAGGGTACGTTCCGATATATCGAACCGTACCCAGGGTACCCTCCGATAGTACCCTGGGGGACATAGACCCAATGAGCCTTACTAGCGCTGCTGCAACTTAAATCAGGCATGGCTGCCTATTAGTGCGTTTGGTTCCTCTGCGTTTGATAAACAGCACAATCTGTGAAAATTACAGTGAGTTGCACTTGACTCGAGGGTCGCAGTCTAAGTCAGGACGTTTATTGCTGTCTAGCTTATATTTCTATTGCATCATGACCTACACTAGCAGAGCCTGCCATGCTGCAAAGATCCAATGTCGTCTACCAGCACTGTGGATTGTGTAGCACCGAAGCAGAAGCGAAGGACTACACGGGTAGAACTACAGTCGGAGTCTACAGAGACCCATACTCTTCTCTTGTCTGGTAACATTACGCTCACTGCTCAGCTTCGGCCATCAATGATCAACTTTTTAAGACGTCTTAATAACATTACAAACCATATACCCAGGTTATTTGTATAAATATATCTACAAAAAAAACATGCAAGATTACACAACAGATAAACGCCGCAAATATACATAATACAAACAGCACAGTTTAAAAGATAGTGAAAACGTTATCTTTTGTGCAAAATTTACCTACACATATATAGTCGCCATGTTATCGCGAGTTCCCGGATGTACCGCTGACGTCAGAATTTGCTCCGCTAATAGAATTTGCTGTATCAAACGGCTTTAGGCACAATGAATTGACTGTTTGATTTCAAAATTTTCACCACAAGAACGGGCGGAGAAACAAGCTATATACTTCCTGGTTCTCTGGTCTTCATATCATCTGAGGTAACGTATATACCATATATACCCATGATAAAAATCTAGAGTAAAATCCACCCTTGTCACTGTTTAAAACACGGATGTTTAAAAAATGTCAGTCATGACTTGATCAGTTGATTTCTGTCTCAGACTCAGACTCAGTGTCTGGTTTGTTGGCTGCATTTCCAGCGGGCAGCAAGAAGCATCACTCAGCCATGGGTCATGCCAATACTCCCACTAATGATACGTACTAGTAGTAGTAATAATAGTACAGTGACGTAACTCCATTTAGGACACGCGGCCGCTATATGACTGAGCCATATGATATGAGTTTTACTTTTAGGTTGTTTAGTATTAACTATTATGTTTATATTTTTATATGACTATGACTAGTAGTAGTATGAGGTATGGTTAGGGTACACTTCTGTAGTACAAGTGTGGTACACTTTGTGTATACATATATGTACCTCGGGTACATATCTGTAGTACTAGATACGACAACGACCCCTTGAGTGTCAGTGTTGACCATTCATTAGTGTTAATACTGTTATCTCATCAGGTTACTTTAATCTGCTCTACCCATTGCTGGGTATTGACTAGATACAATATTCAATAATGATTCATGTAACCCAACAAGAGTAGGGTTACAACGCGAGCCTATTCTTTTCTTTGGAGGAGCCCCTGAGTGATTCACTCAGGGCGGTTTTATGGTGAAACCCAGTTTGGAAGTTGTAGTTTCAAAAAATGCACCATAAAACTGCCCTGAGTGAATTACTCAGGGGCTCCTCCAAAGAAAAGAATAGGCTCGCGTTGTAGCCCTACTCTTGTTGGGTTACATTATTGTATCTAGGTATTGCATTTGACTATTGACTAGTATCGTGGCCTTGTTTCAGTTAACAATTGTAATTAGGTTGATTGGTTTCATTTGACATTCCTATTTGCAGCCACTTTTATGGCATGCATTTGGTCGTACCTTAAATTAAAACATATGTTGTTGTTGTTGTTGTTGTTGTTGTTGTTGTTGTTGTTGTTGTTTTTGTTGTTGTTGTTGTTGTTGTTGTTGTTCATGTTGTTGCTGTTGCTGCTGCTGTTGTTGTTTATATCTTCTTCACACGTGAGTGCATTAGGTCTATCATGCTGTAGGCTTCCCACTGAATGCTTCTTTATGTTGAATAGAGTTGTTTGTACAAGATTTGATCTAAATCAAGACAGAGCGAAATTTGCATCACAGCTCAATAGAAATTGCTGTTATAAGCAAAATCACCAGTCTGCACTTGGCATTTTTGATGTAGATATAATATTATTTCATATCATTGTGGTAATATGTTTAATTTTGACAGAATTCAGGAAAACAATTAGTATTATAAGCTTAACCACCCTGTGAGTATGTGTGTAGCATATGCAACAACAGAAGGAGTGTATCTTCCAACTAGAAACTACCCTCCCCAAAGCACTGGCTGAGCAAGAATCATAAACACATTACATTGCTAGCTAAGAGGCGAGAAGCTCTCGGTTTTCACATTGCTAACAGTGGAATTGCCATTGTGGAAAAGAACCATCTCCGGATATAATAATCATGTTAAAATGACCAGGTTGAATTCAGCAACAAAATCATCCAATGATAGAGGGCTTACTATTGGGCCAAACAAAAAAATAGGTGTGTTTCCGGTTGACCGACCGTCCCTAGATTATTAGGGCCGACCCTAAACTTTTTTTCCAAAAAAAAAGAAAAAGTTGTTTAATTTGAAATCTGACAGACAAAACTTGAGATTATTTACTACAAACATGTTCTGGACTTGCTTACTAACTTATCCCCACCTATACACCACTTTACACCAGAATACAAACGAGGAATCCTATTTATAACCTGTAAGATGTCGAATTAGCAAACATCTGTAGAATACTAGAATTGTATTAAAAAAAAAAAAATCCCTACCTACCTACGCTACTTTTGTTTTCGATGCAATAGGAAACACACCTATTTTTTTGTTTGGCCTTAGGACTGGTTCAAAAACATGTACACTCACCATGAGTGTAAGTGTGCATATAACTATAAGCACATGATGTGTATAAACATTTTAAGGTAACCTTCACAAACATTTCGAGCCAAAGACACGTTCCCTTGATGTCGGCACATGCTCACTATTTGCAACATTTGTAGACAAGCAAGTCCACGTTTTAGGGTTCGTATCATACATTAAACATTTACTTGCAAGACACCCACGGTGGTATCAGTAACACTGCCACTCGCTGCTGCGATGCATCTCAGCACACATTCCATCCACTCCTAGGTCACAAGTGATGTTACAGGCTCAATGCTAGCCGGTGATGTACCAAGGATGACACCTGATATATAGGCTTTACAAACAACATAAACTCTAAATAAAAACACTTTCTAAAAAGTACGCGTATTTAACATTCCTCTGGTTCGAATACTGTACAATTAGTAGCAGTCATTTGGCTAAGTGCTTATAATTCCAGCATAATTACCAGATAACATGACTGTCTGAAAGTTGCCAACCAATTTGTGTGTGAGCATCAGTTAGGTTCTATTGTTTATGTTGTAGGTTGTGTTGGGTTTTTCTTTGCCTAGATGTGAATATTTCAATGGGTACTCGCACTTCGCATAAATGTTTTCCATTATATTAGAAAGCATTATGTTGCTAGTGCCATGTAAACCATTCCATGTATCCTTATAATGGAATGTAGTTGGGTTCATTATCAACCAGGAATGGAATGTAAAGGAATGTAGTTGATGCTTGCCAGACAGCTATTTCTGGTCTATTTTACGAGATAACCTCGCGTCTCAACTGTAGCTTTGCGCCTATCTTCACGAGAAGCCATTACAAGATGTATACTCATAGCAGGTAATGTATGTAAGCAGCTCACGTAGCTACCGACAGAAAGTCAAGCTGATTATTGTAATTCCCTAATCGAAGTAAACTCGGCACTAGTAATTGCCTGTCCATCTAGCTTGCTTGACTTGTAGCTTTAGCCAATCGTTGTTGCTGTAGGACATTCTAAAATATTATGCTTTGCAGTGAAGTGTCTCAGTTGACAGTTTGTCATAGACACGTCTAATACACGTATAAACTAGTCTGGTTTGATCGACCTAGCGGCGGTAACCAGGGGGGCGTGGTTATCTGGATGAGCCGGATAGATCAATTTAGTAATGTGTCAAACTGTTCATTATAAACGTACATGTACAATCAATGTACATGCATGTATGTTTCGGTGGACTGATTAACAATTTAGGGGTATACCACTCCCAGACTGCGTGCATTGCCTGTGTTTGTATGCTACCTACAGCCGGGATAAGCAGGTAGATGGGGAGCATTGAGCCATAGCAATTACATCATTCGTTATGGATCCAATTACGTATTTTGTGATCAATAACATTCAGGCAGTGCATGTAGGTGTCCACCAATTCCCTCGGTGAAAATTAGGATGTTGATGACGTTGGCAAGGGCAACTGGGTATTGTATTTTGCTTGTCTAAATTGCATTTGTGGCATGCATTAATAATGACACCACCTTGAGTTCAATATCTTAAGATAAAAGATGGCAGTGAGTAAAATGAATAATGTGCTGAGTTTCAGCTTGCAATGAAAACGATATTCATCTGCCTACAAATATTGGAAGGATATATATATCTGATCTTATTTAGTTGCTTATTAGTACATAAATTTGTAGAATACACCCAGATGTCAAATCAAAAGCAAATAAATGGCTAATCAAGGCCGTGTACGTGTGTTAATATTTAGATAAACCCTCTAGAAATAATTATTTGATTATTATTATTATCGTTGTTGTTATCTGTTTATTTGCCAGCTATAGCAGGTTATTCATACTAGTAAACGCAGCTGTGCCACACTCATGTCATCAAAAGTGTATGCGTGCTACATTTGGCTGTGACATTCATGTCATTCATATAATATCTACCATGTGACTGTAGCACACCAGTCAAATGCCCAATGTGCGTATGCATAGTAGGTCAAATGTGTATGAGCCGTATCAGGGTTTGAATGTTTAAATTCCAAGGAGAATGTTCTCTTGCAGTTTATTTGATGTTTACGGGCTCTAATCGAATAAAAATCGTGATCACTGCCACAAACACGTAGTCTCTTAGACTTTGAAGTGATCGTAAAGCGGATTTAACTGTGGCTGTTGTATCCACAGCTGTTTTATCGTGGATAAAACTACATTGTAAATCTGTACTAATTCCTCCATCGTCAGCCAGTCAGTCTCTCGAGTTTGTATTGATTTGTTTACAAATGAAATGGGAGGTTAGTTTTGAATAGAAGGGCAATAATTTAGTTCCACGCCTAGGTCAGGCATGTCAATTTAGCATGTTGCTTTATTAGCGAACAGGTAGAACTGCATGACCGTAATGCGTTATAAAGTGCATTTGTTGTCCTTTAACGTGGAAGGTCAGGGTTGCAATTTTGCTTAGCAGCGCTTAGGCACAGCTCTAGCAACGGCGAATTAATCGTTGCCTCCACGAAACAACGAATGATTGATTTCATTGTCACTATTAATTTAGCAAAGGGTGTTGACTTAAGCTGTAATGATTTTCTAGACCAAAAACAATTAAGTGAAAACGCGGTTCAGTGAGGGAGTGCAGTTAAAAAATGGACAAAGCAATATCAGCAGTAGGCCTAATTTGCCAAAAATGATCGATCTTGTGCACTGCAGTTTACAAAGAAACGAGGAAAGTAGCTCCGTAGTTACCGTTGGATCGACTAGAGATAAGTTGTTATGTCCGTTCATGCGATGTAATGAGTTATGACATATATCCGTGATAGCAACAGACTGATTTGGTTAGTTGCTACAGTTGTAGGCCTGCTGGAAAGAGGCTGTATGCTTACTGCACTGTACGCTAGACATGTCGGGACGCTGCTGGCAATATTTTTAATTAAAATTAAACACGTGTTTCGTGTTCTTAAAAATGTTATCTGGAATTGGAGATATATATCTTAATACTAGGACTTATTGCTCTATCAATCTCAGTGTACCACATTCCTGTAAGTAACAATCTGTTGCAATCATTTTTGATGCTGAGCTAAACTATTTCGTAGCATGAACTAATGCGTGAGTTGACATCCCCTAGCAACCACTGAGCATGAGGTCAGAACCTATCCACGTTGTGTCCATCTCCTTGATCCCCATCCATCATAAATGTGTGGCTCTGTAGCGCGGGGGCCGACAACTGCAATCATCGACTGCTACGGCGTCGGTAACATATAATCTAATATATATTTGAGTTCGTATGTATCTATGTATGTATCTATCTATGTATCTTCCCTATAGGCGGCCAAACCGCCCAAGCGATCTGGATGCAATTTTCACAGGGCCATCTCTTATACCCGGGGAGTGTTCGTAGCTGAAAAAAACCTGCCAATCCGTCAAACTCACCGAAAAATCCGTGAAAAACCCCTCAATTCGTGAATCTTCACACATTGTCA